ACACACACACACACACACACACACACACACACAAATAAATAAATAAATAAATAAGATTATTATTATAATAAAACCTCTGTTCATGCTGATTTGACTGCTTTGGTGTATGCATGCACATTGTTAATGCTGTTGTACACCACTTATGCAATTCATAATACTCTGCTGCAAAATCTACAAACCTGTTGGTTTGACAATTTACTGCAATTCTTCTGTTCCCTTGCTGCTTAAAATGTAAAAGGGATCCTTTTTTTATTATTATTCATGGTGATTGGGGGGGGGTTTGTTGTTGTTGTTGAGTGTTACTGAGTTTTTAAAGCTGTAAAAGCAGGCAGTCTGGACTTTTATGTTTTGTTTTTTGCTAATGCTCTCATTCCAACAAGATTTTTGGTGGGGAGGGAGGTGGGCCTAGCCATTGATTGCCTAAGAAACCTACTTTAAAAAGGGGGAAAGTTATTTTTAAAATACTTTTGAAGTAATTTCTAACTGTATGAACTGCTGAGTTCATTTTCTGCCTGGCTATGAGACAGCCAGCCTTAGAGAAAACTGAAAGAAATGTGGGAAATTAACATATGCTTTTAAAAAGAACATAAAGCCTAATTCCTCCTCTTAGTTTTTTCAATAAGCATACCCCCAGGGAAATGATGCTTGAACGTCCATGGACGTAACAATAAACTGCACCATATTTTCTAAAGGGAATATGTTAAAGTTATAAGTTTTAAAAACTTTGGTTGATTTTTCTGCAAGTTGGTTGGCTGGTAGCAGCATGGACTGCAACCCCATAGGGTGAAAAACAAGGAACCAAAGTGCTTTGTTTGCATTTCCATTATCTCCTAATGCTGAAACAATCAGAAACAAAGTGTTTTCCTCTGCATACCACTAATCTGAACCTACTCTCCTTTTCATCATTCAAGTCATTCTTTAGCTGACAAACTAGTTTTAGGTTTTATCTGCATCAGTGATTCTGACAGCAACCAATTCCACAATCATATAACAATCTTCATGTTTTACTCCACCCCAAACCATTCAAAGCCTGCTCATTTGGCATGGAGAAACTGATTTAAGCAGGGAGATAATTTTTAAGTCTTTTGTAACACTTCGCACCACAGCCACAGCTATGCTTCCAAGTATCCACTGAATGCTCTCGAATGTTTTAGCTCTGACTTCCCCACCAACACTTCAACAATAACGTACCACATCCCCTAAACCTCATTCTTTTTTCACTATACCTCAAGTCTGGGTTCCTTTGCAGGCACTGCTCTACAAAGTTGTGAAAATAGGATGAGAAGGTACGATGGTAAGGATGCGGTGCTGCTTCACCATTAGAGGCTCTGGCACTGCTGGCTGCCATGCCTTCCCCAAGACTACTGCTAGCCCCAGAGCGTGATGGCTTCATAGTCAGCTCCTCTGGAGGAATAGTAGTTGTGTCTAGTAGACAAGGGACAGTTCCATTGAGTTTCTCCAAAAGCATCTGAAGCATGGGAACAAAATAATGTTTGGTGAAAAAAATCACATTACTATAGAGCAGTTAGTGTTATAATAATTCTAGTGTCTTTGCTGTCATATGTGCAGTCAGGGACTGAAGTGAAAGGGAAACAGAAAATCCTCTACCTGAGTTGCAGGCATATCTTTGAAGGGAACATGGCCATTTGCTAGCTCACAGGCTGTTATTCCTACACTGTAGATATCAGATTTTGCATCATAGCCTTGAAGATTCTAAAATCAGAAAATCAAAACAGTGTTCTATTTAAAATCTTATTAAATTTAAATTGAAAAATAGAGAAGATAAGCTTATCACAATTACCACCAAATCAATCCATCCATCAAACAATATTTATAAATGCTTTTATTGATGCACCCATGTCAGAGAAAAATTTTTTTCTCAAGAATGAGGAAAAGAAAGATATTGAAACATCTAGAGTCAGAACACCAAGTGGCTTTAAAAAGACACT